GCGTACCCGGTATTCTTTTGTCAGTTCATTCATATACTTGTACCCTAGAAGTTTATTTTCGTCACAACAACGTTGTTTGCAACACCGGGTGATATCGAATCATAGCATTGATTCTTCAATTGACTGGCTCTGAAAGAGCTGTCTATTCCATGGCCACCCAGTATTGCAAACAGAGTAGTTGTGATGCATATATATATATATATATATACATATATATATAATCAAGAATTTGATGTTTTGAAACACTAACATTTCCATTCTCCACAATTTTCTTTGATTGCAGGGCAATAACTTCATGTCCAATCTTTCCGTCCCTGATCATCGACGCGTGGTGCGTCTCATAGAGGAATACATCCTGGCCACGGATCTGTCACGTTATTTCGCCCGGATTCCGATGTTCAAACGCACATTAGAAGCACGCCAAACTCGATCAGATCCTACCTCCATGGAACCCTGGTCTAACAATCCGGCTGAGCGTACACTACTCGGTTGCATGCTGATGACTACCTGTGATATTTCGGCCATCACCAAACCGTGGCCCGTTCAAAAGCTGGTCAGTTTCTCTGTCCGTTCATCGGTTTATCTGTTAAGATATTCACCATCTCGTAACATGCGAATCTGAAGACTTCCGGTTATCCAACTTCACGTATTTGTAAGGCCGGTTTTGGATTGAAATGTGGTTCCCAATCGACAACAATGAAAATGGAAAGAGTTAGTCTGGGGAAGAGTGGGGAAGTGTAGCGATTCAGATTATACCTATGTAACAAAGAAAACCAGTAGGCGAAACGCTGTGTTTGGGCGTTAGTTCCGTCCGTTACACCTTTGTGCTTCATAGCAAAGATTCCGTCCTTCTGAGCTTCCACCACACAGGGCTGTTAGAGAACCGGGTGAATTCGTTGTATCATCATGGCACCGCGTAGTACAGTGAAGCGAACTTCACTGATCGCTGCTAAACTCATAATTCATACAAGATAAATGAGAATGTGTAACGAGGACAGGGATTGGGCCTGTTTTTAGGGACGGAAAGAAAACGAACCTCTACGGTCAACACACAGAGTACACAGCCCAACTGTGCATACATACGATCTCAAACATTCTGGTCTGATAAGAAGTGACAGCAAGAGCACCATGGCTGTCGCTTCGCAGCCATGACCTTCGGCGTCTCCAATCATACGGTTTCGGAGTCTTTTGGACCCCAACCCGGAAGACGACAGACACCTAGTCGTTCTGTGGAGTTCTTTATGCCTCGTCTCCTCGCCATCTGATGGCCTCCACGTGGCTTTCTCCAGCCTGCAGCAGCCACTGTGAGTAAGGCGCGCTGCGATAAGCGACCGTCGGACATACGCATTACGTGTCCTAACCAACGGAGCCTACTGAGCTGGATTCGATGCGATAGCGAGTTCTTGTTTGACGTATTCTCAAACACCTGACGACTTACTTCGAAGTTACTAACCCGCCCACTCCATCCCACTTGAGCCATATTACGTAAAAATCGATTGTCGAAAACCACTAGGCAGCGGATATCTTCTACCCGCAAATTCAAGGTCTCGCAAATGTAAAACAGAACTGATCGTACAGTGGCGCAGTCTACGTGACTTTTCAACTTCAATGAGACGTCACGTCTACGCCATAGGTGTTTAAGTCCTGCGTACGTTGCTCGAGTCTTGGAAATGCGGGCGGTTATCTCCTTCGATACGCTACCATCGTTGGTCAGGCAGCTACCTAAGTACGAGAAGCAGTCGACTTCCGCTAATTCCTGACCGTGTAGTTTCATAGCAGAACTCAACGACACCCAGTCTTGTAGCATCACTTTGCACTTTGAAGATGCGAAGCACATGCCGAAAGGAGCGACAGAACTTGATAATCTATCAAGTGCGTTTTGTGCATCCTCCATACATTCGAACAAGCAAACAATGTCGTCATTGTACTCCAAATCGCACAGCTTTTCTTCAGCTGCACATTCAATACCTACATTTTGGAGACCACTTAGTTTGTTCTCTAGTATTTCATCAATGACGAAATTGAACATGAATGGCGAAAGAGGGTAGCCTTGACAAACACCGCTGCTAGTTACGAACAATCTACTCAGCTCGCCGTAGACCCTTACGCTACCAGAAGTATGTGATTAATTCTGGTACAATAATGGTCCCATGTTGGATCACCTAAATCGTGACGTGAAATTTACTGAACTGGTTAGCGCTGGTGATCGAGTGTTATCACTATTTGTGCATGCGAGACTGATATCGATTATTCCCGTGTTCAACTCGATTGAGTTCGCACAAATTTCAAATTCCTAGCGTCTCTTATTAACAAAAATCGATAGTGTTGGTATTTCTAGGCGAATTCCGGGTGATTGCCTTGATGATAGATTGCGATTGGGTCATTGTGCTTAACGTGTTATGCACACTTTCATTTACTCAATTTAATTTCCCCTGCCCCCTGCC